AATTTATTTTCATTGCCAACAAAAAAAACGAAAAAATGAAAAAAAAAATTACGCTACAATGACTGGAATTGGAATTCTTCCAATCCAAGGAAAAACTAGAAAATTGCTTATGTGGCAAAAAACTTGGAAATGGAATTCTAGGTTAAAAAAAAAAAAAAAAATTGCTATCAAACAATGCAAAAGTGGAAGTTGGAATTGATTTTTCATTTTTTAGGGAAAATTTTGGCTTATAAAACATACCCTAAGACTAATTTTCCTACAAATTCATCCACCATTAATTGACCAAACTCTCAAATCAATTGATTAAAGGGAAAGAAAAAAAAAAAAGAAATAGAAAATCAAGAAGAGGGACAAAGTATCGATTAAAATGTTTCTCCTTGCATTAAACTAGTAAAATTGAACATATATTATTTTGTTACATTATGTGTTAAAAATCAATAAGTACCATGATGGTAAAGTGGTCAATGTGTTTAAAGAATGTAGCAGGTTCGAATAACCTTCCTTGCATTTTTTTTGGTAAAAATTGTTGAAATACAAAAATTATAAAAAAAATATTGCTCTAAAAGCATAGCTATTAAACCCGACCCGACCATTGACCCGGTCAAGGCACTGGGTCTCGGGTTGTTGGTCGAACCGGTGGGTTAGTGGTTAGACCGGTGATTTAATACTTAATAATTATAAATATTTTTAAAAGTATAAAATTTTTCTTTTAGATAAACAAAAAAAAAATTTATCTATCATTATTATTTATATATTCATATATTATTTTGTTAAATATTCAATTCATGTTAATCAAAATAGTTACTATAATTTTCTAAAAATAAACTATAATTGATTTACATCTAAATAATTATTGCAAACACATAACAATAAACACTTAATCTTTAGTGGTTAGGTGGTACTCACTTTAAAATTCAAACCTTTTTTAGAACAAAAAATTTATGGACAAATTTTTAAATCTTGGTCAAATCAGTCAACTAGCCAAATTAATATAAAAATCGTCGATCAACTCGATTTTTATCGAGTCAGTTGCATATCTATAAAAATATGCTACCCGGCCCGATTTGGGACTCGAGTCACGGGTTTTCGGGCCTAACCGATCGGGCCAGGCTGAGTTTCGTAACTATATTTAAAAGAGTTTTGAACACGGGACCTCAATTCAGTAGTGGAAAGGCTAACTAACTGAGCTACTAAATATGTTTGTTGTTAGGCTCTGTTTGTTGCACATTTTATCAAAATTTAGATTGATAAGTCCTACCGTTGGGCGCATTTCTCACAACAAAATGTGAGATGAGAGTCAAAGCATTTATGGCAAGTGGGCCCCAAAAACGGCTATATTTTTTCTAAAATGGAGGAAAAAATGCGCAACAAACAGGGGCTTAATATGAATTATCAAATATATATAATCTAAAAGCTGTATCTATTATCAGGAAAAAAAATTCTCCGATGAATCCAACTAGAGCGGCTGCCCTACCTTGCCACCACATAGATCCGCCACTGCGTATGACCAATGCCACCTTATTGTTGCTTATAATCTAAATTTAGTATGAAGTTGGATTGAACTCTGAGTGATGTATTCAGGATCGTCTTTCAAAAAATTTCTTGGCTGTTCCACTCCATGCCCGCAAAATTCAGGCCAATAATCCACGCTCGTTGATACATATAGACAAACTTTAACTACTTTTTATTTTTTAATACTGTCCAAAGTAGTACATATGCAACCTAAACATGTCATTGCACAATATTTCATCTACTGATTTTATACTTTTCAGCCTCACTAAGAGCTTGTGTCTTTTTTGTGCTGTTAACCCTAGTATCACATATACACCCACTAGCAGGGGCGGACCTAAGGGAGGGTTTATAGGGGCAATTGACCCTCTAGATTTGGGGGGGGGGGGGGGGGGGGGGGGGGGGGGGGGGGGAATTATTGCTTAGCTTTTTTTTTTCCTTAGTTTTTTTTGTTAGAAGATACTCTATAAATTTTATTTTTGCCCCCCTAACCCAAGTTGTCTGGGTCCGCCCCTGCCCACTAGTGAATGATGATATTGTGCTTTCCTTTGTCATGAACATCAATTTAAATAGTGTCTCCTTTCTGAACCTTTAAAGTTGGACTAGGAAATTTCCATTCACTGTCAAAATTTTCACTTTTTCTCACACAAAGTTGTATACCGAGTTTCTTTCACCTGCAAATTCATACCGTACATTTTTTATAGCAACCAGAAAACAAAGAAAAAGTTAGATGGGCTTCTACATATATGCATAAAATACCCCAAAAAAAAGGAAGAAAAAGATAAGGCAAAGATGGAGTGTAGTTATATCATCAAAATCAACTCCAACTCCAACTCCATTGATGTCAGTCCTAGCAGCCATGATATAATCATTAGGTTCTTGATTTGTAACCAAAATGCAGTCCATCGTTTGGTCAAGGTATTATAAGTATAATATTATTACTTATGTTATAACTGTTGTTCAAAATCATAATAGAAGAATAGGGCAAAAAGGAACTGGACATCAACTAAAAATCAAAATGTGGGCTTCGGGCTGAGTCATTATCACATGCACACTCATGGCCTTACGCATGGGCTTTAGGCCCTTTTCAAAAACAGAAGCCAAACGGCTTGTTCTTAACATGTGTGCACACAGTGTAGAAAAGTAGTAGTTAAGACTCATTTTGGTTTAATTTTTCATGATTTTTTATGAAAAAATCTCAAGTTTTCAAGAAAGATTGGCACTATTTCGTGCTTTGTGAATTAAAATCTATAAATAGGTGATAGATTTCAATTATAAAAATAACCAAATCATCAATCAAATTCATATGTAGTGCCCTTATTACAATTCAATCTCACATTCAAACTTTAAGGGTGAGTTTGATTGTCAATATTTTTCATGAAAAATGTCATTTTTCCATTCAAATTCCTACTTTTGTGTTATTCAATTGATTTTTTTCCATGAAAAATATTTTCATACTTTTGATTACGTGACTATTTTTCCTTGAAAACAAGGAAAATATTTTCTTTAGAAGGAGTAAGTTTTTATTTTCCAGGTAATTCATTCTTTCTTTCTCTCTTATCTATCCCTCTCTCTTCTATTTACCTACCAATAAAAAATAAACAAATATAATATTTTCTAGGTTGAAAATAAATTTTATCAAACACATTTAATTGACAATTTCCATTCTAATAATTTATAGGCAATTAATTGCTTAGAATTTATTTGTTTCCATGTAAATTCCATGCTCGCAATCAAGCACGCCCTTAGTGTTTTTGAGTTTTTGGAAGAAAACACTAGTACTTAAGTATTTTTCTTCTTAAAGGCTTTTTTAAATCCTATAATCCATTTGTCGGTATATCCCTTCAATCACTCAAATAATCCTAGAGAGGGCAAATATAATTTAAGAACAACGATTACATGATCAAACCTATTTTTTATTACAATATTCTTGTTGCCAATATCTTATTCTCTTCTCCCATTTTCTATACTTAATCCAACAATCTCAAAAGACATTTCATGAAGAACGAGACAACCATGTCTATCATCAAACTCGTGAACTAAGACCTTGTAAGATTGGATCGATTCTATAGAATGAACTTCATTCGATGACAAGATAAGTTGAAATTTCTACTTAGAATTGAAAATCTTCTATATTATCAGTCCTGATTTGGCAACACTTCTGGAACCAAAGGATGAAGATACTAATGCTATAAGCGCAGAAAGAAAAAAGTGTCAACACGATGAATTCATATGTTATGATCATATCCTAAATACATTATCTGATCAATTGCACGATATGTACACCAACACCACTTCAGCTAAAGGAAATTGGAATGCATTGGAGAACAAATACAAATTCGAGGAGGAAGGTATAAAGAAACTCCTAATATCAAGGTATTTTGACTTTAAGTTTCTTAAGAACATTCCCCTACTTTCCAAAGTGCATGAATTGCAAGTGCTTCTCAACAATTGAAAGTACTCAAATAGAACTTTCGAAATCCTTTCAAATGGAAGTAATCATTACAAAACTCCCCGGGGGGGGGGGGGGGGGGGGGGCCGAAGGAACTCTATTGACGAAGATAACGATGTGGCTACCGTGAGCGAAATTAATACTGCCAAAGGAAAAGTTTTGAGTTGATGGTACAATACATGTGCAAAAATTCATGTATCATATGATAAGTCACTCTTCAAAACTTCTCACGAGTTGAATGGCGAACAAGAGATACAAATGGTCGTAATAAAGGCCGCTCTAAAGTGGTTGGAAAATGAAATGTTGATATCATCTTCACTTCTAACAAAAAACTATTTTCTTAAATAATGTATTACGTGCTCTCAACATAAATAGAAACTTGGTGGATATCTTTTGGAAAAATCAGACATTCAAAGTGTTTATGAGTCAGAAAATTTGTACTAACCGAAAATGAAAAATCTATTGGAAGAGGTTATTCTTGTGAAGGAATTGTCAAAATATGTATTGTGACAATTTCAATAAAATTAAAGTAAATTTTGCTTATTTGATTGATTCATTTACATTATGGCATGCTAGCTTATGTCACATAAGTATTAGTACTATGAAAAGAATGCTTAAATATAACATGATTTCTTATAATGTAAATGATTCTTATGAATGTAAAACTTGTAAAGAAACAAACTTTGCTTGGTGTACATAATTTTTTGTATATCAAGGTGTTCCACAGTCACATGGTGTGGGATCCACTCGAATAAATATTCGAGCGGGCTCCACCTCATGTGAGTGTATGGATACCTCAATGTACTAAAAAATATGTACAAGTAGTGTTGTCATTTTTGTTTATTACAAGTCTTTTGTTGGGCTTCGTCGAACAAGCTGAAGACTGTTATAATCCTTACTATAGGACCCTACCATATGATGGATAATGATTGGAGGGTATTTTTAAGGTCCTATATATGAAGCTTCGTCTTTGCCGTAGTTAATCTGAATTTGTTTGATTAGCTATCTAATTTACTAAAAAAAAAATTGCACACATTAATTTATGGGAAAAGGCTAGCTATTCAACAAATGAACTTCTATAAGGTGATCTTACAAACTAAAATGTCCATAAATAATAAATTTAAATAGATAACAAATTAAATGAGATCTTCGAATAATTTCCAACATCTCCCATAGACTAGATTTGATTGTTGGTCCAGTATCAACACCAAGGCATATCTTGAAGCGGAGGCAACATTTTAGCATATGAGATCTTGTCATTTTTAACAATGAAAATGATTCCCTGTCCGCAAGATTTGTGACGCTCAAAATGACAATTCATAGTCCAAACCCCTACAACATACAAAATTTACATCTTTAAGTTTGTCCATAAGTGACAGGACATAAGATAAACAAATTTACTAAAAACGCCATGTACCTTATTTGGCTCGAATTGTATTGTTGTAGAGCCATTTCTCGAAATTTTCATATCTCCGCACAACTGTTCGTTGTTAAAAATGGCAAGAGCTCAGATGCTAAGATATTGCCTCCACCTCCAGATATACCATAATATTGATGCTTGAACTATCCGTCAAACGTATGGTAATATATAGCACAAGATATAGGAAAGTGGTTGAGGCTTTGTTTTGTACTATATTTATCCATACCAGAGGTTATGGGTGTACTATATGAGTATGTACTTGACGTACTACACATGTAGCCTTGTACCAGTCATGAACTGATGGATGGATTCAATCCCTGATTGAATCCCTGTTTTTGTAGAACAATTGTATATCATAAGGCTACAAAATTTAATCAATTATTTGGTCTTAACATGTATAGTAATTCAAATTGCTAGAATCGTGAAAATTCTATAGGGACTATTTGGTATGTAGTGCTTGTAATTATTGATTTTTTGACCACTAAAGAGAAAATTGAGTCCCATCTGTAAGTAAAGAAGTCAAAAATGACAGTTGAAATAGTGAAATAATGATCAAAAAATTGAATTTTTGTGTAAAATTTTCTACCAAACAAGGGCTATAAATTAGTTGGCTCACATTCCTTGTGGTTTGCTTGAATTTTATGTTTTTTTAATCATCGATTATGGACATTTTTGAATGATATCGTTGATGATAGGTTGAAAAATTAGTGATTATAATTTTATTTATTTATTTATTGCATTGAAAGTCTAATTTTAACTGTCTTTCTCAACCCCCAAATCCATGGCTTTTGGCCGTTACTCAAATTCTCTTCCAATTTTATCTCCTATAAACTATTTCGAACTAATTTATAAATAAAAATATATTAACTAAAAAATTTATTATAAGAAAAAGTTTATTTTATAACTAAAAAAATTACTTATAAGATAAAATACATTTTTGTGTAAAAATTTGCTTATAGGTTAAAAAAAAAACTAGTGAGGAAAAAAATTCACTTATAAATAAAAAATTACTTATAACGAAACATTCTTATAAGATAAAATACATTTTTGTGCAAAAATTTGCTTATAGGTTAAAAAAAAACTACTAGTGAGGAAAAAAAATTCACTTATAAATAAAAAATTACTTATAACGAAACATTCACTGTGTAAAAAGTTATTTAAAAGTACAAAATTAACTTACAAATGTAAAATTTACATATAAGTAAATAAAAAACTACTTATAACTAAAATGTTAATTGTAAGTAAATATTTCACATTTTAAATTAAAAATTGACTTATGTTATAAAAGAAAAATTATAAGTAAAATATCCCTTATAAATAAAAAATTTCATATAAAAAATTATAATTTTCATATATATAATTTTATTCTTTTAAGAAAATTTCAAAATCGTTGGATAATAAATTTCCAAGCATAGGTTGAACTATTTTAAAAATCACTACTAAAAATCACCTAAAATTAGACCCTCATAAATGCCAAAAAATCATTACATTAAAAATGCCCATAATCAGTACCCCAAAACTCCCAAACAGACCCTTTACTATAGACGTTTAATTATTGAATGAATAAAATAATACTTGGCACTATCACTTATCTATAATTCTCATGGTATCATAGTAGGTTTAATCTGACTTTTGGTTAAATTTGTAAGATTTCGCTTTCGGTGAGTGGCCTCATCACGGAATATTAAACTTGGGGATGGCTGCGTCAGGCATGGGAATTCTTGGGTGCCACACAAGCGACCCATGTGAAGTATCTATATCAAGGTTTCATTATCAAAGTTCAATCTTGTTCATGGCAATAGCCAAAAATTTTATATGTTGATTAAGACGGCAGCTCGTTTGTTTAATTGATTTAATTGTTGGTATAGTATTTTGGACTTTGATACTATATTGATTATTAGACTTTCATCTTAAAAAGTTCGCTGGAGATGTAGTAGTGTTTCGGATAAGAAAAATATAAATTTTATTAATAGGGTCTTGTAAATATTATAAAGAAGAGAACCCTATTTATAAGGTATGAATAACAATAAAAGGAAACAAGCATAAATGGAAATATTGTGTAATAATTACACAATCAACTACAATGATAAATAATCTTACACTAAAAAGAAAGATATTGTGGAAAATATTCTTGACATTATTTATATTTTTAACACATTTTGTCTTATAGAACAGGAAAGAGAACTGTAGATAAAAGTATACTTCCAATATCTAATAAATAACAAATTTTTTGATGCATTGTCAAAAAATAAAATAAAATATGAATGCAAGAAAATTAACAAAGGAGAAATCTAAAGACGATGAAGCAAAAATGAATAACGAAGACTCTACAATATATGGAGCGTTAGAAATTTATTATTAAGTATTTCTGAGTGAAAAGACTTGGTCGTTGCATGAATAAAAATTTTACCCAGTCTCTAGAGTGTTAACTATTTTTTTTATCTAGTCTTGGAATAGTTTAGGGATGTCAATTTAACTCGTCAACTCGAGACACTCGTGACTCGACATGTTGGCCCGAGCCCAAGTCATCCGGCTCGTGTCACGAGCCATTTTCGGTCCATGACTAACCAACCCTAAAAATAAAAATAATAAATAATAAATAAAAAGAAAAAAGAAACTACAGGCCTTTGCCTCTTGCAGGCAACTACACAGCTGCCTACAAAAGACAGAAGCCAACAACACATTGCCTGTGTTTTATTTATAAAAAAAGTGAGACGGCTTACCTCAACTTGATAAGGCTCTAACCGAAAGCTTAAGTTGAACCTAGAACTTTTGGCCGAACAAAAACTCTGCAAAGAAAAGTCCGAACCATTTTTATTCAAGCCGGGCCCGAGCATCAAGTTTCGGTGACATCCCCAGGATAGTCTTATTTTATTGAGTTATTGACAAATTTCTTGCAAATTTAGTGGGGTTCTACGGCTTTAAAGAGCCTGCCTTGTAAACATTTCACTACATTTTAGTTTCCTCATTCCATTCTTGGCTTTGTTCCTTTTTTTTAGCTCATTTCAAGAAATAAGTAGTTTTCTCTCTAAAATTAATGAGTGCTTTCAGTAGTAGTTTTTTAAATGCTTGTTTATTGTCATTGGTATTAGAGCCATTTCATCTTAACTATCAACCATTTCCAATTATATGTTGATGGAAAATTTCTTGCGATCCAAAGAAAATTGGCAGGTTGTTTATTCTGGCATAGCAGAACTAGCAGAAGGTGTTGTGTTGACACAAGTACAAAGACAGAAATTAAAAGATTTAAAGGCAAAGAACTACCTCCTCTAAGAAATAGATCATTCAATTGTGGAGACAATTCTTAGCAAAGAAGCATACAAGGAAATTTGAGTTTCCAAGAAAAAGATGTATTGCTGGTCAGCAATGGCAATGAGGGTGCAACTTTAAGCACTTCGCATTGAGTTTGAGACTTTACGAATGAAATTCTGATAGTCGGTTGGTGATTACTTCTCAAGAAGAATTGCAATTGCATATAAGATGCGAATCCACGGAGACATAATGACACATGTTACCATTATTGAAAAGATTCTTAGGTCAATGACGGTAAAATTTAATTATGTCATTTTTTGATTAAGAATCCAAGGATATTAATGCACTTTCGATTGATGAATTTCAGAGCTTTTGGTGCATGAGCAAAAATAAACCAACGAGACAAGGAGGAGCAAGCTTTGCCGGCAGCTATAAATCCAAGGGTAGAAACTTGGAAATGGAGGATGGGAAACGTAAGCATCAAAAGTCAGATACTAATCATAGAGGAAAAGGAAGGGGTCGTGCCTAAAGATAAGTTCAATGTACAATGTTTTCAATCTCACAAGTATTGTCATTATTGCTCAAAATGCCTATCAAACAGAGAACTAGTGAAAATCCAACGTTACTATAAAAGAAGAATATCATTTCTCATCGTATGCCATACAAAGGAGCAAATTTAATCAGATTTTTGGGATATGGACACAAGCTGTAGCAAGCATATGTGTGGCGGTAAATATGTTTTTCTATGGCTTGGATAAATCATTTAGAACTACTATGAAGTTTGGATATAACTCTACAATGTTCGACCTAGGAAAAGAAAATGTGCCAGTTCAAAAAAACAAAAAAATGCTACCCATTCTATCTCTAACGTCCTATTTACCCCTAATTTGGAAACTAATTTACTCAGTGCTGGTCAACTTCTAGAAAAATGGATATGAAATCAATATGAAGAATGGAGTTTGCCGAATTTGAGAGGAAAAATTAGGTTTAATTGCTAAAGTTGATATGACAACTAATATGTTGTTCCCATTGCATCTCCACAACTCTATTTATTCGTGCTTCTCTACCAAATTGAAGGATAGGGAAAATTACAGCAGAATCCCCAATCCTTTGAAATATTAGCAGGCTTTCCCTAAACTTTTGATTTGTTGCAACCTTCATTCCTAACATTTTCAAACGTTGCAGATAAAATCCTTTTGGATGGTTTCCATCTATAATTCAGTTAGTTGACCAAAAATTTAACTATGACCACATTTTTAATATTTTAAAAATGGTAAAAGAGTAAATTTCCATTTATAACATTAAATAATATAATAATTAAATTAAAAAATAAGAAATCAAAAAACACAACCCCCGTCCTCTTCCTCTCATCCCTCACCCATCTCCAACCCCAACCCCAACCCCAACCCCAACCCAAAATCCACACCAACCACCGCCTCCACCTTCACCTCTATTAAATGAGTAGGTGAACGATAATACCACCTCAAAGATCACCATCAGCAACTTCAATTTTTTACCGAACTACTTCAACTCAAGTCCACTGGCTACTCCAATTCTGTTTGGGCAGCGTTACCACTATCCAAACGAAGTGTGTTAGCCAGTTATCCAACAGTTGATTTATTGAATCAGCCGCGGTGAGGAAAGCTGTTGTATTTCCAGATGAAGTGGCTTGTTGTTTGACCTTCCTTTCCAACAAGGATTTCTCTTGCTCATCATAGAAAGTAAAATCTTCAAGGAGAGATGTCTCAACATTATGTTTCTTGAAAAGTTTTAACATTTCAATTCCTATTCATTCAAAAGAAGTAGAGGTGGAGGTGGAGGTGGCAGTGGCGGTTATTGGTGTGGATTTTAGGTTGAGGTTGGGATTGAGGGTGGGTGAGGGGTGAGAGGAAGAAGACGGAGGGTTGTGTTTTTTGATTTCTTATTTTTTAATTTAA